GAGGTGGGCATCTCGCTGGCTACTGGCCGGGGCGGCTTTCCGAGCTGGATGAAGGTACCCCCTGGGCTGGTGGTAGCCTGCAGGGAGCCTGCCCTCACAGCAGAGGCTCTGTTGAGGTAGTGTAGAGTGCATGCAAGGAGGCTGGCAGCCTGTCTGATGGCCATGGTGGGATCTGCAGCCGCAGTGGGGTCCCTGCCACTGCTGGACCTCCGCACAGTGGGGCAGGAGCCATGCTGAGTTTGCCAGCTGGGGAAATTCTGCTTCTGGTCCTATAGGCCTCTGTTTGGAGCCCAGAGGCTGGCATTTTTTAATCCTTGCTGCTGTAGCATCAGGTTTTCTTTAAACCTAGTATTTCCCAAATAGCTTTTCAGAAACAGCGGTAATTGCACGTTTTCTTGGCAGTTGTGCCAAGGACAGGTGCACTGGGTTCCAAAGTACTAATGCTCCTCTTGACTTGTTCTTAGGAAATCAGTTCTTTTTCGATACCCCACAGTGCTGAATGTTACAAGCAGCTTGGTTGTTAGCAGTAAGGTAGAATTTATTACTGGGCGGATCGGTTGCTGTTGCAGATATTTTATGGTGTCAGCTGTTAGCAATTGGACGTAACATCCGTTCCTTAAAATAGGCTGTTTCCCACTGACCAAGAGCAAATAATGAACCACAAGTCCATTGCTGACCTACAGAACGATAGCCAAAGCTTCCCTCTAGCTGCGGAGCTGCACTTAGCATCCCAGGACATCTCTGTGCAAAATACAGACCCCGCAAAGCAGCAGTGAGTGAAGCAGCAGCAGGATTCAAGCCCGGCACCATGCAGGCTCGAGCCCAGGAGGTGCTGCAAGTCCCTAGGACCAGCCTCAGCACTGCACTGTGTACACAAGCCCCAGATCACTGTCCCTGTACAGTGCTTTATTGGTCTTCCTGCAGGCTTACCCTGCTCAGAGTGGCGAATCCAGAGAGACTTTTTTTTTTTTTTTTTTTGCTTACAATGTCAATCAAAGAAATAGATCATAAAAAAAACTAGCAGCCCTACAGCCCGGGTGAGTTGGAGTTTCAAAGGCAGTGGTGCCGTTTCTTACTGCAGTTTCGATTTGAGTTTCTGATGCTCTTTTGCTCAGCAGCAGAAGCAAAGTCAGGAAGGGGCAGAAGTACGGGTGAGGTCGTGGCATGACTTATGTTTTTAGCTAAAATTTTACAAACTGGTGTGTTTTACTCACTCTGCGTTATACTTCTGTGTGGGGGCATGCAGGTTTTTGACTAATGCTGTATTATCTTTTTCCTGATGGCTCCTGAGGGAAGTAGATGCTCCAGGACATATCGGAGGCCTAGGAGTCACATTTCAGACTTGCGCAGGGGAAAGCTGTCCTTTCGGTAGGCTCCGGAATACTTCTGACTCAGCCAAGTATTTAGCGATACACACTGCGTTTCTAAACAACCAGGGAGGAATGTCAGTGCCTTTACTGGGTGACCAAATGTAGTCATCTAAAAGGCATATTGCAGCTCCCAGGCCTATTTAATAACTTGTGTTTGCTTACCACTGTTAGCTTGATTTGTCCACCCAAAATTACTCAAAATCATCACATCCATTTCAGCAGATCCTTTTTTAGGAAAATTTAATTTAAAATTGTCAAAGCAAGAACGCCACATGCAAACAATTCTGCAGAATACTTGCACTAAACTTGAGGCCAGTGCTTCCTGAGTTTGGCCTGTTGCAGAAGCTTGCCCTGCAAAATGCCATTTTCCAGACCCTCTAGCAGCTGTATCAGGGCCACAGGGCTTGTTGAGCAGCAGATAGACTTGAAGCTTACCAGCATGCAGCTGCAGATCTGGCTTCCACCCCTGCCCTGCCAAGAAAACCCTTCGATACCAGAAGAGGTGTTAGGTAGTCTGCAGCTGATCACTGTGGGCACATTGGAGAAGCATCCTTTCTCGACAGGACAAGAGTAGAAACTAGATACATAGCTAGTATAGATCTATATATACGTCTATACATATTTCTATATAAGCACATCTCTATATTTGGGTGTATATCTCTGTATTTGGGTGTATATGCATCTAGAGAGAGAGACAACTATACATCTGTATGGAAAGATGTCTCTCTATACACATCTCTCTCTCTCTGTGTATACATGGTTATCTATGTATCTATCTAGTGTAGGTCTCTGGAAGAAGGCATAGGCAAGCAGGAGGCCCCTGGTGCTGTTCCCTTCTTGCCCCCTGCAAGCAGTGTGTGCAGGGAGGGTTTTGGAGGGGCAAGGTGAGTCCGTGGGGTAGCAGCTTCCCATTAGAGAGCTCAGGCTTCAGGTGCTACCTTGCTTCCTCTCCATTGCCATCAATTCCTTACCAAACTGACCTAAAACAAGCCAGTGAAAAGGAAAGAAAGGAGAAAAGAACAGCATGAAGACAGCAAGAGGTTAAGAAACAGGGAGGTGGGTGAGTTAAAGCATTTGCAAAAATGCTGCTGTTTGGAGAAGGTTCTTCCTAGACCAGCTAGCTCGCCTGCTGTGTGCAGGTTTGAGCTGCCTTGAGGAATTCATTAAAAATCTGATTACAAACCAAACTTTATCCTCCCTGCTCAAGGAGCTTTTCCCTTGGCACATGGAGCCCCAAGTAGATTCAGGGTCCGTTGTCGGGACTGTTTCAGTCTCTTACCAAAGCAGTGTAGGGAGCAGTTTCTCTTTCTCGTTTTAAGCAGTTGAAGGAGTTAAAAGCTTGGTGAAGTAGCTTACTGGCACAGTTAGAGACAACTGCAGCTGCGAAAAGGCTGCGTTAAGAAACAGGATGGTTGTGGTCTGCTGCAAGAAATAATTTTCCTGTTGACTATTTTTTTAAACAGGAAGTTGAAGAACAAAGCAGCATTAGTCTTAGTTCTTTTAATAGAGTTCAGATTTTAAATACTGAATTTAGGATACTAAGATCAGGAAAGGCTGGGGCTTTGCGCAGATTTTTATGTAAGGACCAAGAGCCGGGAATGTGGAAGTGCGAAGGACAAGCGGATTCAGGCGGGTCCTGCAAATCTGAACCTTGTGCTACTCTGGCCACGCGATCGTAGGAGAGGTAACTGTCCACAGGGTGGATGAGAAAACGTGTGTGGGTTTGCAGGATTTTGTGAGTGCGTGTGTTTGCACAGTGCTGCACAGACTTGGCTTCGCACAGTTTCCTTTTTGTCAGTCCGGCCGTCTGTCAGCTTCCCCTCTGCTCTGCTTGTGCTTTCTCAGTAACAGGAAAGAGCAACAGCTTCTGCAGCAGAGGAAAATAAAACCTCCCCACGCGAGAGATAGCGGTAGTGCCTCACGCCACTCTGAACTCCTGTTTTTTTTCTCACTAGTCATCTCAACTTAGGGGTGATGTGCTTGTTTCCTTTCCAAGCCCCTTTCTCCCTAAAGATTTTAGACAAAATCCGTTAAAGTCTCCTTTTAGAAAGTGTTCTCATCTCAGGAAGGCAGCTCAGCAGTTTTTCGTGTGGCTTTATTATCTATATTCTAATTCTGCCAAAGCCTGAGCATCTGACAGGATACAGCTGTGCTGCTAACCATTTTTTTTCTACACACCTATCACAGATCATCTCAGAGGTATCGCAGACTTTGTAGGTGGGGGCCCACCTCAAACGGTAACTGCAAGTGCCATTTTGTTTCATTCTGAACATTTCCCTGGTGTTCATTCAACCTCTGAAGCATGTTGTACCTACCACAAAGCTGATTTGGCAGAGAATGCATTGCTGCAGGTCTCCTTAGTTTTATCAAAACCAATTAAGTGACTTCAGAAAATGAGCGATGTGCATTACTGTAAGTAACCGAATGGGGACATCAGCGTGGGGTTATCTGGAGAGTAGCCCCCATTGCTGTCACGCTGACCTGCCCTGTGTAAATAGTGCACACAGGGCACACATTGCTGCTGGGCCCTCGCCCCTGGTGGCGGGATGCTCTGCATACCTCCTGCACAAGCACACGGCCGAGCCTGTCAGCAGGTCTCTTGAAGCAAAAGCATTTTTAGGGGCAGACAGCACACCAAATTGCTGAAATGTCACAGCACCATTAGGAGAACCTTGGACCCTCCACTAGGCACGGTTCCAACTAGCAGTGTGCCAGAATGCCACAAAAAGCCCTTTTGACTGGAAAAAAAAATCCTCAGTGCTTTAGTGCTTTTTTTTTTTTTTCTCCTATATTTTGTTCCACTGAGTTTCTCTCTCACATATGCTTGTCCTCAGATTACCCAAGGTAGTTCTGTTTGGGGTGGGGAAGAGCAGGAGCCTGCTGTCGGACAGGGAAGCTGGGGAAGGCTGGTCTCCAGCCACCAGGCTTTCCCCTCTGCAGCAGCTGGCGGCTGCGGACTGGCTGCCTGCTTGCTCCTCCTCCCCAGGGAAAGTGCACTGAGCATGGCTGGCTTTGCTGCTCCTGAGAAGGAGGAAGGTGCATTCAGAGGTGGTGACGGAGCCTGGCTCCTTCAGAGCAAGCAGGGACAGTGGAAAAAGCATGGGTCTTTCCTAGAGGTCTGCAGTTCAACCCCACCCATAATAGTGGGGGGTGTTATCTTTCAGCTATTTAAGAGCTTTGAAAGGTCAGCATCTCTTTCTGAGTATGATCTTAAAGAGATGATGCCTTCTTGAAGTAAGGTTTGGTGGTGTAGCAGTGGGATTACCTGCTATACTTCCATGGGAACAGGATTGTTGGATTAAACAGAGTTCAGTTTTGTTGTTTATTGTTGCATGCAACCATATTGCACACACGCACACAATCCTTGCATACTCTTTGCTGTAGCAAAGCACAAAAATGCAAAACTAGATGTGTCTGTGAGTCTGCATGGCTATGGAGATCATGCAGGGAGTGCCTGTTTAAGGATGCAGCTGTTTTCCATACAATGAAACATGAAGTGCTTTTTACTTAGTCCTAGAAAATTGAGTAGATAATCCTGTTTGATGCAGGGTTGGTTTGGTAGAAAGCACCTCCAAATGTGACAGATTTAATAATCTCTGGGTCTTTGCATTTCTGTATTTTGCTGTGCAGGTTTCTTAGCAAGATCAGCTGGAGCTCAGCCTTCCACCATGCCTGTGCCTCCTCCTCCCGCTCCCCCTCCGCCCCCAACACTGGCCTTGGTAAGTTTTACGGGGGGTGGATGTACAGCATGCACTGTCCTCTCTTGCTGCTTGTCATGTTGGAAGAGACATGCAGCAAGATGACAAGGGTGGGTATGATATCTGGGGAAAGTTTTCCTACATTTTATTTACAGCTGATTGATCCTGCAAGAGGGACTGTTACTTCCGTTCCCTGTCAGTGCCCATGCGCATGTCACTAGCCACATTCACTCTCCATCTTCCTCTTCCTCCCACATTGGTGGTTTGATCTGGTGCAGGGATCCTGGGTGGAGAGGCACAGCTCGTCTAAGTCAGAGGAACTGAAGTCTTGCTCTCCCCTTGCTTTTTTCCAGCCATGTGCTCTCACCTTCTCCCTTGTTCCACTTTAATACTTACATGACCTAGTGGTGAACTGGTTCAGAGATCCTGAGCTGGCAAATTACAATCCCTAAAATCCTAATTTTTTTTAAGGATAGCTCTTAACCAGCATAGCTCCCTCAGCCAGCCTGTGATATGAAGGTACAAGACCCACTGCTGGCACAACATGGTGGGTGAGACTACATTGGACCTGGCTTAAATCAGCCTAAACTGGAATGGAGCCTGCCCTGGGCTGCTTGTTCTGACAGGCAGACAAGAAAGAAAGGCTTCTGGAAATGCTATTGTAAAGTACTTAAGTGTTTTGATACCAAAGCCCTAGATGGTTGCACAGATAAGCTGGGCTGTGCCCTGCTGCGGAAGAGTGTTTCCCTCACTGCCCACCATCAGCAGATACCGACTCTGCGCTTGGTCGCTTCATGGCAGCTCTCACCACATGTCAGGACTTTTCCATGACACTGATCTGCTAAGTTAGAAAACTTTTCAGGAATCACCATTTTGTAGAAGAAATCACATATACGTGCATGTGTGTATAGCTAAAACTCCATCTTTCTTCTGAGTTATCCAGAATTTGTACAGTTTGAGTTTCACTACAACTTTCAAGAATGTCCATCTTTTGGTGCAATCGGATTGAACAGGGACAGACTACTCAGTCTACAAAATGGCAATTTTCTGTAGATGTACTTTGGCTTTCAAAAATTAGATTCTTGAATTCAAAAATATATATTAAATAAATAAATAAATAAAAGTGTTGTGTTTCCACTGAATTGCATGTGTTAGAGTAGCAGCACTGTTTGGAGCCTCTAGTCAGTGAGAGGCCAGCTACTTATAACGTCATTCACAAAACCAGATAAGGCAGGTTACCCAGTCTTGTGCTGTTAAAGCAGAAACTGAGGTCTCAGGTAACTACTGTATTTGAGCAGAACTTTGTAGCTGGAACTTGAGGTTTATTTTACCTCCTCATTTTTCATTTTATTTTGCAGGCAAATACTGAAAAGCCAACCCTAAGCAGGTCAGAACAAGCAGGGCGAAATGCTCTACTATCTGATATTACCAAAGGAAAAAAGCTAAAGAAGACTGTTACTAATGACAGAAGTGCTCCAATTCTAGACAGTGAGTATGATCCTACATGTCTGAGTTTGTGTATGCTTTAATGGTTCTACGTATCTGAATGCAGAAAATTTTTTTAGCTGTCATCAGATTAACTGATGTGGGAGAAGCAAGTAAAACAGAATGCCCAGGATTGGCATAAATTCCGTTCTTCATGGGTTAAGCCACCTGAGAAATCAAGTTGTGCTAATGAAGTGTGAGTGTCAGTTTGTTTGCTTACTCTCATACAGCAATTTGTTTTCTCACAGTCACTTAAACCAGAACACCATGCCAACCCTGCTAGGAGACCCGCCAAGAAGCTGCAGCGGCTCAGGCAGGCAAACCCTCCTCAGAACTGAGGACAGCACAGAGAAAGTGCACAAAAGTAAAGGCAGCCTTGGCATGGCACCATTGGCCTGTTTAAGGGCCTGGTACTGGTCAAGCAAAGCCCCACCTGGGTGCCGCTGGGCTGGGGTGACTCAGGGCTTGTATCGTTGTGGCTGGGCCTGGTTGCTCAGCCTGGCACGGCGCGGCACCTCAGCAGGCCCCAGTGCAGGAGAGGCCTCCGTCCAGCTGAACTGCTGCTGGGCCTCACTGCACACCTTGGTGCATGCCGAGAGGAGTCTGGAAAAGGCCATGTAGCAAAAGCATTGGGAAGATGGAAAAAAAACAGGAGACGGGCAAGGGACAGAGGCCTGCTGTGGTGGTAGCACAGCACTTATTGCCCAGGGAGAGGAGACGTTTCCACAGACTGATTAGCAAATGTGATACAACTCAGTCCAGGTCCAGCCATGCAATTATAGGCTAGACTGTGATGGGAAGATGATGAGGAAAGAAGGAAACACCAACAGGAATGTGACCAAATAAGAATTAAAAAAAAAATAGGCACAGTTCAGCAGCCAGCCATGTACCTAGCTTTAAACTTCTGAATATCATTTTTGCAATCAAATTTACATGTTCTAGCTACTCTAATGAGCTAGAGAAAAGCGGTTAAGGGGTTTAAAGGAGGGCTAAACAGTAAGATTAAAATTATGTGGCCTATTATCTTGTTTACATGAATTAACAAATCGTGATGAAAGACTAAAACATAGTAGCAGCATTTCTCCAGAGGTTCACACCCTATATGAGTCAGAACCAAACTGAGTTAACATGCTTAAGAAAAGAGAAGGATCATGTGAAACATTCCCCCATGAACGCATTCTTCCTCCTTTTTTTCTGGGTGGGATTATTAGGAGTGCTTTTCATCTACAGGTTTTAATTACTTTAAAGTCAGTGAAATTTTTACCCACCCAAAGTTGTGGAAATCGAGATGCCGAGAAATTAAGCAATTGATCCTCAGCCGTGCAGCCTTGTCATCGGGGAGCTGATCTCCACAGATATCCCAACCTGTGGGCCCGATCATTTTGCACTGATGTTCCAAGTAGGGCTCTTCCCTGTATTTGTAATTGTGGAAATGCTTTAACTTTACCTGTAGTGCTCCAGTGTTGCCACAGCAGAAATATTGATATTAGAGGAAAAACAGAAGAGGAAGGAGGGAACTGATTAAAGTAGTTCCATCCTACCAGGAAAATTGGCAGCTTATGATCATATCACTGCATTTCTGGACCTGCAGGAAAGTAATTTCCCCGCTAGGCTTTATTTAAATAAGTAGATGTGTTGCAATGAAATCAATAGTGACAGAAGTCTATGTATTCCCAGAATTGATCACCAGAAATGCCTCCAAGAGGAAGAATGCCTCTGCCTGCTCCCTCCTTTCTCATTTCCCATTTTCCTCATTTGCCATGTCTTTCAGTTTGCTTAAGGAGAGATGGAGGTGAAGGATGAGAGCAAAGGTATGAAGAAATGGAAAGCAGCTATGTCAATGTTAAGAAAGAGAACATGATATTCTCAAAGGCCCTATCCATTTTCAGTTCTAAATTCTCCAGAGTGACTGTTTCTCTGCTTTCCAGTCCAGAATAGACTAAAGGAAAGTGGTGGCTTAATAAAACTCAGTAGCTATGTTTATTGCGCCACCTCTTCCATGGTGCAATAGTGGTGGTAGTGGCAGCTGTGATGATCCAACCTGTACGAAGGCTTGCTTGTGTATTTTGAAAGCTTGTCCTTTTTTCCCCAGTTACAAGTGTTGCTCTATTCAGAGTACTTTGCAGGATCAGCCTTGCTTCCCTGCATAACACGGGGACTTTTTTTTTTCCAACAGAACCCAAAGGACCTGGTGGAGGTGGTGGTGGCTTTGGTGGAGGCGGCGCTGGCGGCGGCGGGGGTTTTGGTGGTGGCGGCGGCGGTGGTGGCAGCTTTGGTGGTGGTGGACCACCTGGCCTTGGAGGCCTTTTCCAAGCGGGAATGCCAAAGCTCAGATCTGCTGCAAGTCGAGATGCTGGTAAGAAAGACCTTGCGGTTTCAGCACAAACAAGTATATGGCAGATTACTTATTAAAACCTTCATACGATAGCAGTAAATTACCTGCTGGGATTAAGTATGTCTTCAGAAATGTTAGACTCTTAGGAAATGAAATTTTGACCTTGAATCTTGTTTTATTCTTAATGGTAGATTTTATGAAGAAGCGAGATTTCTCTTCCACCCTTCCTCCTACTTATTGATGAAAACTAAAGGTCTCGGCAATGTCAAGTGGCTGCCTGCAAAGCAGTCAGTCAGACTACGTTCTGCCTTGGCTGGGGGTGTGCAGGACTAGAGGGGAGCACAAGAGCATTCCTGATTAATTCTGCCTTGTGCACCAGCAAAAAGGGTCTGATTTCCATTTGGAAAGTACATCTGTGCCAGCTCCGCACCAGCATGATTTACCACTCTGGGAGTGCACGAGGCACCCCAGCTGGCTGGTGCGCACGCTGCAGTTGGAGGCTAGGCTAGGGCATGTGCTGTATTCTTCGAGCTGGCAAAACAGCTGCCCAAAGCCCCGTGCCCTTTGAGGTGACAGAGACCTGGGAGCAGTGAGTTTCCTAGAGCTAAGGATGCAGCACTTCACAGTTGTTGAAGGAGCACTGGGAGACAGGGGCCGTAGAGTGTTATGAGTCTTGCACGTTTTATAGACCAACATAATTTTTCAGCTCATGTGTACAAAAGAGGCTCTCGGAGCTGGTATTCTCTATTGTGTCACAGCCTATTTTGGGAGCTTGTATTAATGTAAAAGTTCCTGGCACAACCAAAGAGCGTTTCTTCAAGCGCAAGCCCGGCCACCTTCTCCCCGCCATACACAACCGCGTCCTTAGCTAACACCCCCCGGGAAGGGCCGAGAGGTGCCTGTGGCTGGACGGTACCTGTCGAACACCCCTTAAACCACCCGCTCCGCGGCTGCTGATGCCCTGTCTCTCTCTGTCTCCCCGTGCAGACCCCGGGGCCGCCCGCCCGCCCGCGCTGCCGCCCGGCGCCCGCTCTGCCTCCGCCAAGCCCTTCCCGGGGCCGGCCGGCCCGCCGCGCTTCCCGGGGCCGCCGTCGGGGCAGCGGAGCCCGGCCGCCGACCCTCCGAGGAGCCGCCTGCCGCCGCCCCGGCCCGACGCCGGCTCCAAGCCCGACACCGCGCCGCCGCCGGTGCCCAGCACGCCGCGGCCCGGCTCCTCCGGCCCGCACAGCCGCGGCTCGCCGCCGGTGCCGGCCGTCAGCCGCCAGCCCAGCCTCGGGCCCTGCCCGCCGCCCTTCCCGGGCAGCCGCGGCGCGGGGCCCGCCGGCTCCCTGCGGCAGCCCGGCCCGGCGCCCCCCTTCTCGGGCCGGCCGCCGCTGCCGCCCACGCCCGGCCGGCCTGCGGAGGACAAGCCGCCGCCGCCCCCGCCGCCCCCCGCCGGCCACCGGCCGCCCGCCGCCCGGGAGCCCGCCCTGCCGCCGCCGCCGCCGCAGAACAGCAAGCCGCCCGTGCCCGCCTCGCCGCGGCCGCCCCTCGGCGCCCCCGCGCCCCCGCCGCCCCCCAGCAGGCCGGGGCCGCCCCCCGTGCCGCCCGGCCCCGCCGGCGGCGACGAAATGCCCCGGCTGCCCCAGAGGAACCTGTCCCTGGTGTCCCCCGCCGCACCCGGCACCGCGGGCGGCCGCTCTGGACCCCTGCCACCGCCGCCCAGCGAGAGGCCGCCGCCGCCCGTCAGGGACCCCCCGAGCCGGACAGGTAGGTGGCGGGGTGCTCAGCCTGGCACCCGTGGGTGGCAGCGCCCTGCGCAGCGGCAGGTGCGAGTGGTGGCACCGAATGTTGGCCCTGCGCAGCGGGAGGTGACCCCAAACTTTGGCCGTCGTGGCCTGGCTTGGCCTCGCAGCTGGCAGCATCAGCACTCGCATCAAATACACCGTGAGCCAGCATCCAGAGCCCCAGCCCATGTGGGTTTCAGGCCGTGCGAGGCGAGGCAGCGCCGTTCCAGCCAGCTCTGACTCACAGGTGTCAGAAACGATGCTCACAGGGGACTCTCTAATGGAAAATGAGGGTTTGTGGGCGTCATGGTGGCTCAAGGGAAGCCGTTGTGCCCCACCTGCCAACTCACGTGCACTTGGGCAGATCCTGGCAGTTTCTGTTACAATTTCTGTGATAAGGAAGGGGTTGCAAGCAGGGGGCTGCCCATTACATGCTGTAACACACGGCACCTGTATGACCCAGCCTCTGTTCGGTGACAGCATTCACCCTACTGAGTCAACCTGTGTAAGGCAATGGTGGTGCTGTCACGAGATGAGGTTTGCAGAGCCTGACCTTCTACGTGTTGGGAGACACGCACGCTTACAGGAAAATACAAATTATTTTATTAAAAGACCGATCTGACAGGTGTTAAGTGGGAGTTGCTACAGCATGACTAACTGCCATTACTTGCTGTACGCAGATTTCAAACGAGACTGAAAATAAGAGTTGTCTCCGTCGAGTTATTTCATCACTTATTTTGTCCTCTGATAATTATCATTCATAACTTTCAAGAACTGTGCATCGTGACCCTTAGTACTCGATGGCTTTCTGATGAGTGAATCGAGGCACAGAGAGCCAGGCCCTGTAGCATCAGGAAGGGAGAAGCTTTGCATGGAAGGCAGCCCAGGGAAGCTCCGTGGAGTTGCCTTCCATTCCGTCCTCTGGATTAAGAGGAGCAGCGCATCAGCCCATTGAGCCAAAGGGGGGCACCATGCCAGCACAGCCTGCCGGGCCCCAGACAAATAGGAGGAACTTTGTCACCTTTGGCTGGGGAGCGTGGATCAAAGCTGCAGGGGGCAGCTGTGATTATTCAGATGGTTCAGGAACTTTTCTTGGGATGGCCTCTGCTTCCACAGGAGGTTCCTGTTTGGCTCTTTCCTAATGCAGAGGATTTTGGTAAATCTGCGCTACTTTTCTGCTGATTTCATAATTAGAAGGAAGCTGTAGCTGTAACTCGAAATGTAAATACTATTTTGCAACGGTTTGAGGTATATCATGGGGTTTAGGTACATTTAGAGAGAGAGCAAGCAAAACTGTTCTGGAAGTTTTTCAAAATGCACATCTGTAACTAGATTTCATCAGAACAAGGAAGCATTTCATTAAATGAACATAATCGCCAATTGCCCAACTGCACTGATCAGAGAGGCAGCGAGACCTTTGGACGTGCACAGCCCTCCACACCCTACGCTTAGTCTCCTCCTGCCCTAGGCAGGGATTCCTCTCTGGCTGGCAGCAGCACCTCTCCTGCACTCATTTACTGGTGCCTCTGGGAGAAGCACCTTTCCCCTGCCTATGTGGGCTCTGCCTTGATGTCGCCATGCCAGCTGCCCCAGTGCACAGACGCTGGAAATGCAAGTCTACGTGTGAGGTCTGTTTCCAGCCTAGCGGGAGGTGGATGTGCTCCAGCTACAGGAATAAGCTGGCACGCAGCACAAGCATCTGTAAAGGAGAGCACTGATGCCACCACACTGCCTAACACTGCCGCCCCCAGGCTGAATCCCCTGTATGCCACCGAGAGCACTGCTTGTGACACCCCCAGGGGACCACCCCCATGGGGAAGGAGCCTCTGTTCCATGCTGCCTTGCCTCGTGAGGGCACGTGGAGAGGCAATGCAGTGTGGCCTGGGCTCCTGCAGTACCCTGGGCTCCAGCTGTAACTGCTGGCCATCGTGGCCACTGTCATTCAGAGGGGTTCGAAAGGAGTAGCCCCTCTACGGAGGTTACTGTACCTGAGAGAAAGGGGAGTATGGGCACTGAGGTGTGCTTGTTAGATATACCGTGCTCCTCTACAAGCCAGTGTCAGCTCCCCAGAGAGACCTGCAGAGCTGGGAGGTGGGTCTGGGGGACACTCACTCTGGGGCCCTACCAGCCTGCCCTCTCCTGTCTGTTAGCAAGAGGCCCTGGTACCACTGACAGAACAATTCTCCATGTAAACATTGTTTGTGTGCTTGCCTCTCTGCTCTCCCCAGGCCCCCTCCCTCCACCTCCTCCCATCAGCAGGAATGGAAGCACCTCAAGGGCTTTGCCCGCTGCTCCCCAGCTGCCTTCCAGGGCCGGGCTGGAGAACCAGAGAGGTGGAACCCGACCGCCACTTCCCCCTGACCGGCCGGGATCGGGAGCGCCGCCGCCACCACCACCGCCTTCATCAGCACTCCGAAATGGCTTCCAGGATCCGGGCGATGGTAAGCCGTGTTACTTGCTTTTGGTAGAATTATGTATAGCAGCTTTTGGCCTTAACAGAAAAAAATATTTGTGGGAGAGGCTTTGTTTCTACAGCAAGCTTTGAATTTCTGGTCTGCAGAGGTATTGTGGGTCTGGATTAGTCCTGCTAAGTATGAATGGAATAAATATTCTATGTATAAGACAGAACTGCAAACTTGTCAATATAAGTTCAAAAGTAACCCTTTGAAAAATAGCCTGAAAAAAAAAAGAAGCATTCACCATGCTCGGCTTTCCTACAATACATTAAGAATGCCAAAGGGGATTGTTCTGACTGTAACATGAATTCACGCCATAGCTACACTGAGACTCTTTGTAAGGCAGAACAAGTTAGATGATGACTCAAAAACTGAAAGTTGAAAAACAGAATGGAAGAGATTGTCAGAACACTGCTGAAAATGTCAAGTTTCTCTCTTCTTACTGGTGTTTGTTGAAAAGGTGAGGTCCAAGACAGATGGGTTTTAAAGATTCATCCTGTTTTTCTTTTTAATTGTTTTCTGTTCGCAAAGGACAGATACATCCTTCAGCTAATTATGGAAGGCCAGAATTTGTATTTCTGACATTTATGAAGTTAGAAAAAGCAAGCAGAAAATAAAACTGTAACCCACACTATTGAACCATCTTTGCACATCAGATAAGGCAGGTGGGTCTCAAGCACATTTTTTCCTGCCTAAGTCATTTGCAGGATTCAGAACCTGCAGCTCCTTTACACACTGGTTTCTAATTGCAACCATTGGGAGTAAACATAGGAAAAACTGGATCCCAGCAAATAACCACATGTTCGACCGCTGGGAAAAAACTTACTCAGCTCTTCATTACATTATGCAATAAAATTAAATAATATCGCAAGAAAGTTGTAGTTGCGAAGTCTTGAAGCAACCAAGTGAAGAAATGACAAAGTTTAAGATGGCCCACACTTGGGCATCCAAATTCAAGTGCAGAATAGAGCTATGTAAAAATACTTTTCCTGTCATTTCAATGAAGAAACTTAGCAGCTTTATATATTCTTTACAGTCCTATACAGTCAATAAGTATGTCAATAGCATCCCAGTAGTTTCAAGAGATACTGATGTGTTTCGCCATTTTTGACACTACTTTTCTGTCATTATACGTTCTATTATAGCGGCCCCAAAATTTTATTTTTCATGTACAAAAATTAAGAAACAAAAAACAACAAAAAATAAGAAACAAAAAAACATTCCTTGCAAGTTAGAATGCTTTTATTTATGCTTTTGACCTATGTTTATCAACAAAGTCTGAATATCAGAAAATTCTTCACCCAGAAACAAAATATTGTTCTGGAGTAGGAGGTGTTGTGCATTTCCTATAACATACACGCACATATATATACACACGTATGTGTTTAAAAAAAAACAAAAACAAAAGCCAGTAGAACTATGGCCATTTTCCTGATCTGTGATTTTGCATTAAATTGTCTAAGTGATCTGTTAAAGTTAATTAAGAATTTTAATTCTTAAACTAATCTAAAGCATCATCTTCCCTGACTTTCCAGTAGGATGCTGGTTCAATATTCAGCTATCTAAGCATTTTGCAGTATAAAACATCTATTAAACATTATATTAATATCAGTTGAATTTTCTGAAGCTGTATCAAAACACTAACCAGTAAAATGCATGTTTGTTTGTTTTTCAGATGAGTGGGAAAGCAGATTTTCTTTTCATCCTATATCCGATTTACCACCTCCAGAGCCATATGTACCCGTGAACAGAAGTTATCCCAGTAAATTAGCAAGAAACGAAAGCAGAGGTAAGTTTGTGCCACCTCTGGTATTAGAATTTCAGTGTATTCTCCTAATAAGTGTGGATGGGGAAGAGATTGGATGCTAAGATTTGAAAACTCCTCCAACAGCCTTTTCACCCTTCCTCACCGCACAGAAAAAGCTTAGAGGTTCACAGGCGTAAGCCCTCTTAGGCTTGTATTTTGGGATAGGTTGGGTGAGGAATTGTTAGGTTTCTAAGTTGTAATGTGTATTATAGGAGACCACTTCTGCTATTATATTGAGCTCCCTTTTGCTACAGGCAGACAGAACTGCAAAATCTCAGTGCCTTATCAGTGACTTTCTACTGTTTTTGTCCCTGTTATTCCTCTTGGAATGCTGTTCTAGGACTTTTCTCATTCCCCATCTAAATCCACTTATGACTTGGTTTTTTTGTGTGTGTGCAAACATCATCCTTGAGTTCAGTTATCCTCCCTACTTGACATGTTAAACCCCTACTATTTTTTAAGACAACAGTCTTACTCTCCTCTTAGCTTCTGGCTTGCCGAGTTGATTAAATCAGGATGTACTACATTCTTCTTCCAAGCGAAGTTCTCCATGTCTTTAGTCATCGGTGTTGTTTCTGTATACATTTCAGTTTGCTTTTGTCTTTTCCAAGCAGTGTTACGTGCTGTTCCAGTTGAGGTCTTGGCCAGGTCTTCTATAGCAGCATAAATGTTTCCATTAGTTATCACCATTAGTGGTATTTCGCCAGGTACACCCAAGGATCAATTTACTTCTTTCACAACTGGTCACATCAGTGGCTCATAGTCATCCTGTAATCATCTGTACACTCAGATGTTTCTGTCTCTCCTGTTTCCAAATGTTGAGGTTTTGGTTTGGAGCAGAAATTCCTGTTGGTCTCTGACCCTTCACTTTGTGCACTTAGCTTTCTGCCCATTCCTATTACTCCACAAGGAGAGGCAAAGAAATGTAAGCACACTTTTATATTTACTTTCAGAAGTTTGGAATGAAAATCTTAATATTGGGAAACATGAAGAGCTTTGAAATGCTACTGAGTTTAGCGCTTGCCACTTTCATTGAAATTGGCATGTGTTGCAAGTAGCACTGATACTGTATGTGTTCACATAAAACAATAAGGCTAGTAAGAGTGATTGATCTGTTTTGAGAAGGGGCCTAAGAACTGAAATATGTGTCCTTTTCAGATGTTTAAGGAGATACTTTATTTTGCACTGTTCAAGGTTCTTATGTTGTTTAGTAAACTAACTGAGAACTCTACAAAGGTATTTTCTAAAATGGTTAGACAAAGAAATGAGTAGATCTTCACCTGAATTAATGGCTTGGATGTGAACTCCCAATATTAAAAGAAGCCAGGAGTAACACAAAAATCTTTCTTTCTCTTTTAGGTGGCTCTGGCCGAAAAGAAAGAGGTGCTCCCCCACTTCCACCTATACCAAGGTGAAGTGGGTTCTGGCTCATCTTTGGGCAACATCTGTTTTACGAGGTTTCCTTCAAGTCAGCTTTCCTGTCCACATCATTGGAAAGTTGTCTGTTTTGCTTTATTTCCACTTTTGGCTTGTCAGCTGGAATAAACTTCAGTGTCTATTACAGTTGTAATAGACACAGCTTATGAACTATAGTTGCTCAGAGCTATGAATTTTGTTTGCTTATGCTGCAGGCTGTCAAGAAAGGCATTTTGTGGACCACGCGCAACATTCGTGCATCATGCTTACCGCGTCCAGCCCTGTCCCCTTGAGAGTTCCACAGAAGGTCTGGCTTTGAATTTAACAAGAGCTGGAACAAAGCTGTTTCATTCATCTGGGGGACAGTGGCTGTATTATTTGAATCATCAAGTACAATCTGTTTGCTGTTTAAAAACCAATTGCCAGGGAATACCATGTAGCTGAGAGTCCCCTGGATCCTGCTTTGCATGCCTGACCTGGCCCAACTGCTTCTGCAAGCCATATTCCTACTACGTGGGGACCGAGAGCTCATCCTAAGTCTTTTTCGCCTCAGCTTAGCCAAGCAAATCATGTTTTATACAATAGATGGCACATCCTGCCCCAGGGATGGACTGTGTTTGGCCATATTTTTTATCTGCAGAGAATCTTCCAAAGAAAAGCACAAATGAAGAATTCATCAGCATGAAAATATCTTCTTTACAACTTTTTCCTCCTTTTGTAATAGCGTTACGTTTTTAGTCACTTAATTCTTTCCTGCTTTGATGTGGACCAACCCACAATCATCCGTGTCCTGGATTATTGTAATACCCTCTACCTGAGACTACCCGCAAAGAGTCCTCAGGAATTAGCCTTAGTGCAAATGCAACAATTATTGTAGTTGTTTCTTCTCTCTGTACAGCATCGCTAACACCAGTGCTGCACAGACTGCTTTCCAGTTGTTTCTTTGGTACAATTAAATGATGGGTTTTTGACTTTAAAAGCTTCCTGGGGCTTAGGTCACAAGTCTCAGAGAAATTGTATTTGACTTGCATTACAGCAGAGCAGCTGAGGTCAAAAATGTGCGTAAGTGAAAGCCCTGTGATGTAGCGAAGGAGGTCTGGGGTTTGTGCACGCAAGTGGGAGCATGAGCTCCAAAATTTGCTGTCTGCACTGGTTCAAGAGGTATGGGAAGATTTGGCCTTCTGAGTTTACCATGAAGCCTGTCCTTTCAACCTTTGCTGAAACAAGTCTCAGCAGAGAGCTGCAAGGCTTACGCTAATAGAAGAAAGTGTAAAGTATTCTAATGTTGTGACAATTGGTTAAGATGTTTAATGGCTTTTGAATTCTGTGGTTGGGAAAAGAGTTCATTGAGTGAGCGTGTTTTATAAATGGATCTAAATGCATGTAAAATGCCTTTGGAAATTAGAGGAAGATTATAATTCTGAATTTGTCAAATAATATCTCTTTTTTAATTGGACTTCTGAAGGTTAGTCCTGAAAAACTCCTCTGTCTCCTCCTAAGTTTTTTTTCCAGCATACTCCTTGGGACCCCTACCAAGCCTGGATCAGCAGCCATGTTTCACAGGGTATTGCTAAAAAAAAAAAAAAAAAAAGGAAAGAAAAACTAGTCATGTGGGTTAAGAAAGTGTTTCTCTAGTGTGGGAGAAATGATCTGAAGTATACACTGATGCTAGAATGAGGTCAGTCCTAGAAAATCCAGGGAATGTAGCTGAAGAGAGTTTGAACCCCACTGAAGTGTTTGCATGTGGGGCTTTTTGCCCTGTCAGTGGGCACGGGGCAGGGAGACCCTCCCTGCGCCACCACCTGGACAGTCACCATGAAGAGCATGAGGCAGAGCTGGATTTGGCCAGATCAACATTAATTTGGCCTTTTTGGTATTTGTTTACAAAATCTTGTTAGCTGTGATAGCATTTGATTACAAACCAGTTTTTTACATTTTTGTATCTAATGACATATTTTAAGTTACTATTTATGGTCCTGAACCTGCAATTCAATGCGCAGGCGCAGGGATGTATCTACATCTAATTGCAGGGTCGTGGCTGTAAGAGTTTCTTAAACAGATCTTAATGGGACCTCCATGTGACAGGTGCACCTTGGGATCAAGGCTAGCTCAGTACTGAATTTGTATGTATTTTATAGGTGTCACTTAAACGTATGCACTATGCAAAGTGCCTGTCTCTTTGGCATATTATTGTGTGAATAGAAGTCCAAGTAAAATTTTTAGAATAATAACTTAAAGAATAAATTATTGTATTCATGTTATTAAACTGAAGCACTTATAACTATGAGGAGCAACATTCTGAGTTTAAGAATACAATATTTTCAATACATTGACCTGCCAAATCCTTATTAATATCCAAACAGCTATGCAGCCAAAAAAAAAAAAAATCCAAAAGCTCTACCATTTTTTGTAACTTACCTGCTTCCAGCATGACTATTTTACTTCAAGTCAAAGAAAATGCTGCAATTGTTCTGCCAGCCCTCTGCATCATTCAGAATATCCTGTATTTGATCTTCTGGCACGATTTGCTGACCAGAAGTTCTGGACCATTACCAAAGACCTGGCAAATCAGCTTCAATCTCACTTTAAAATATGTTATGTAAAAGCCCTCAGTCAACAAGCCAAGAAACCTGAGCTGATTTTTTTTTAGCACTTCATTGCTCTATAGAAACCTCTTCAGAATGGCTGTTTGTCTTGTAGGTAAAATGCCTTAAAAATGCAGAAAGAGGTATTTTTTCACTGAACAACAACATGACTATTTATATCTTTTGCAGTAAAATTCCCTAGATATATTCCAGAACAATGCAGCATTTTACCTGCAATGTATTGCTTCACATATCAGTAGCTACTTACCATATGATCAGTATTAAAGTATTTATTATGAAGTCTTAAAAAGAGAAGAATACAAAACAGGTTGATCCAGTGGTGCCTTATGACTTTTAGTCAACTTTTCTGTCTCACTAGAAAAATTACTAGGCGTTGTTGTTCTTCCACATCCTGATGTAAATAGTGCTGATAGTAGCATTACACAGAGTTTGAGCCAAGTCCTGCTGTTGTAATGCGCTCAGTCTGCTAACTCCTGATTGAGCTAAATGTGGGGAGAGACTATTAGATCAGTGCTTAGGTGAGATGTAAGTGGGTACTGGTTATACAATACACAATCCATTGTTGGTATTGCTCTGGAAACCTACCCCTCTCCCAAAACCAGTGTCTCACACCGCTGTCTGTACAGCCCAGCTGCCTTCAGCGTGGTTGCAGAGGTTATTAAAGGACTGAATTTGATTCACTGCTTGCATATGAGATTTACTGGTTTTGTTTTAATGGCATTGTCTTGTGAACATTCGTACCTGAAAACTATCTTTTTGTGTCATCATTAAGACTTGCATTGCATGACAATGGCCACAGATGTTCATTTTTGTTTGACTCAATGAAGTAAATAAAAAGGGAATAACTTTTGTACCATGTGACAGTAATTTCTGCTCAATATTTTTGTAAGAAAAGCACATGTTATGTCTGTTATGACTTCCTGCACCAGCCGCTGGGAGAAGAGGTCACAGTGATTCATGTTCAGAGTTTGTTAAAGGAAACTCAACTTGTGATTCAGGAAGCATGTATTTCTGTAAGTGAACTACTTCTTAAATAAGGGTGCAAGGTTCTTGTTTAGAAGCTAGCATTTCCCAACACTAAAAGGATTGTAAGAATTAATTTTTTCTGCAAGACTGAACTACTAGAGAAGTTCCTTAAATTGTCGCTGAAGGAGCTGGACAGCAAGCAGTGTGTCCTTGCAGCAGCGACTGTTTACATGGCACTTGTAGAAGCAGGTCTCTGTTGGAGCAGGGGGGGAGGGAATTAAACTGCTATTACATTTCACATATGTTGCAAGACAACATTCTTCTGTGCAGAAGTTTGCAAATAGGAAGGATATTCCAAAGAGTGGAGTTGGATGATCAAACCAGGATTGTTTCAAATGTCAAATGTCAAGAGACCTAGAGAGGGGAGGGGGCCCCACACCTGCAGAGCTCTGGGAAGGAGAGTGTTCAGAGAATAAAAAACAACTGGCTGAAGGTGTGGGTCCATATGGGAGAACAAACCAGGATGCAAACTGTATGGAATAGCACATGGCAGTATTGCCAACGCTGTTGTCTTGCAGTCCGATGCAAACAACCTGTTGTGGCGGTACATTGACTGCATATAGTATATATGGTATCAACTTTCATCTCTCAAGTTGTGTTCACCAGAAAATGAGGAGAATCTCTTGCCTAAGATACTCAGTAACACATTTAGTGTAGCTAATTCATGGGAAGTTTCTTCGTGTCCACTAGAGAAAGTGGGGATGGTTTAGCCGGTGAGGTGAAACAGCCTGGGCTATTCGGTTAAAATGTAAACCTGAGGCGCTGACAGCCCGGGGAGCGTCCAAGGTACCCAGCCGAAGCAGGACACCCGTATATGTCCTTAGTGAGCGTGCAGCAGGTAGGTAGGCTAAAAGAAAAAAAAGGAAACTGCATGTCTTGAACAAGGGAGTAGCACAATAGCATGTTGCCGTTCTGAAGTACGGTCTGTGATAAATGCTCTTTAGCATCAGTCATACATGAAGAGGAAGGCACTCCAAATTTGGACCTCCAAAGCCACACAAGACTATGAAAGAGAAACATAACTTCAAACACAGGCTGAGCAGAAAGTACTGTTTTTTATCAGATGCTTAAAGTTTGAGCTTTTTATAAAATATTAATCAAATTCTGTGAATATTTTTCTGCTTAACATTTATTTTGTATGTGATTTTTTTTTCTCCATATTTTTCTGTCCTATGCCAAATAAATTTTACTTTTATTTAATTGCTGGTGCAGACTGTTACATTGAGAACAACCACGGCTGCTTCCTTGGCAGAAACGCACCTGGGCTCCGTCAGGAGTGTGACAGCGATCCTGGAGGAGCTGGGGCCAGGTTCGCCTCCCTGCCTGCCCACCAGTGCTTAGCCCCACAGCAGAAGCCTGCAGAGAACTTTGGGCTACCATACGGTGAAGATTAGATACCTGCAGATAAGTCACAAGTGTAGTTTGGTGTAAAGAATAGCAGGAAAAAACATGGTCAGGGACACTGTGCTTGTAGGCAGCTATTGCTTCTGTCGTCATCTGGTGAGTGGAACCCATAGGGCTGGGGCTGGGCAAGGCGAGGCAGACACTTGCCGTGGGGAGGTGGCATGGAAAATGCAGCACTCAGTTAACCACAGAGTTTTGTTCCTCTTATCTCCATTCGCTAGGCAAGAGGATTACAGAAAATGTTATTTTTAAGTAATTCAAACCTTTGTTTTGATTTTAGAGACCTGTTCTTGATGTTAAAACTTTTCAGGTGATTTGGACCAGGTTCAACACAGGAAGACCCTTTGATAAAAGTCCAAAGAAGGCTCAAGTTCAGGGTGCACTTCCAGTGTCTCCTCCAAAACTAGGAAGGTCATTTAAAACCCTGATATAAAAAGCTCTGCATGGTAACTCACCTACCTTGCAAAAACTTCAGCAGCAGGTTTATTCTTACAGAAATAGAGGATCCTTTGAGGACCACGGGGACTGCTTGTTGGCACTTCCATTTTACAGACTGCCTGGGACAGAGGGCCCCAAAAGGCCCCAGAAACCCCTAGCTCACACATCGTGTGGTGATTGGCACCTGGTCCTGATGCCTGGGCTATGTGAGTAGAAGAACCATGGAGGGTGGAGTCAGAGCACGGGAGCTGCAGAGGAGCTGGCTCAGCAGGCTCAGAGACCTTTGCTGCAGATCTTAGTGGTAGTAGCCTTGAACTCGGAGTAGCATTGATTTCAGAGCTATGAGTCTAATGATCAGATAATAGGAATACTTCTTTTAGACTTAATCAAAGGAAACATGCTTCTTCCTGGTTTTTGAAGCAGGTAAATGATTTGCTTGACTTTGGGAGGGAGGAACTGATCTGAGCATACTGTGACCTAGCCATAACCACAACATAATCTTTCCTCTATTTAACCCCAAAAGCATACTGTTGCAGAAAGAAAGAGAGAGAGAGAGAAAGAGAGGAAGAAAGAAAGAACACCGTAAAACTTGTAACTGCTCTCTGGAGTTGCAGGAAGGGCCACGTGTTGCACGCAGCACACGCAGAAATATCAAACTCCTTTGATCATGGTTCAACAGTTTCCAGTGACCTTCCTGCCATGTGTGCACAGGCTGCTCCCTTCTGCCCTCTTACCTAGTCTGACTCCAATTTGCATTGAAAATAGTGAATTGGTCCTGGCCAGTTATCAATTTAGGGGCTAAATATTGGTCCATACGTGCCCGTACAACAATTAATGTATTACTTAGAAAAGTAATAAGATATGCAACAAGGTGTGAGATCAATTCCAAGAAGTTTCATTTTCAGTTGGGCTCTAGAGTTCCTGTAAATGTTATTTTATATGTAATGAAGCTCTGTTTTACACTTTTAAAAGAGCTTATCCTTTTAACTTGCCAAAGGGGACTCTCTGTAATCCTCCTGAAAAGTTTCTACTTATTCTTCCAAGCTCTGAGGGGCTGGTGCATACACAGTCTTGCCAACTGTAAAAGCAAATACGTTCTTTTAGAAACAAAATGTTTCTCCCTGTAGGCATTAAAGGCTATCTACAAACAGAGCTGTGCCTGTGCTTAACTCCCCCTTTTGAAGATGTTACAAGAAAAAACATACAAAGCAAATTTGGGCCTCGGCAATGTTTTCTGTGACTTGTTGCTCGTTATGCCTTTGTGGTATCTGTGCTGCCTGTTCTGTGTTTCCACAAATACAGACTGCTAATCACAAACTTCGATGAAGCATAAAAGCAAACAGAATGGCACTTTGTCTCCAGACTGTAGATTTTGCAGCAGTGCTGGGAGTAAAAAGCGATTCAAATAGTTTCTGTCACTAATGTGGGAGAGTAAGAGCCTGTGAGCACAGAGATTGCTGCACTTACTAACCTACAGGTCTTAAAGACACCTTGGAGCAGAATGACTGTTTCACACCATAGGAGGATGGAGCTGTTTGTTGGTACTTAACTTCATTGCTTGTAACTTGGCTTTTCTGTAACCCCTGAAAGTATCCTCTTAAGAGTTCACTAATGCTGCCATAAGTCTCAGAAGATGCTTGTTTGATGTCTCCCTCCCATTGCCTGTCCAATGCCCAGGAAACCTTCTAACACAGCCTTCATTAGCCCAGTCATTTGCATCCCAGCAATGTAAGAGCACTCTTCCTCTGTATGAGACCCATGCTAGGCAGCCCTTTTATAACATCTCCAAATGAGCCAAAACCGCTTGTTGTCTGTATTACAGCTCCCCAAAGGCTGCAAGGTGGCAGCTTAATGGAAAACAAAATGTCTCTGTTGTGGTTATCCTTCAGTCCTTCAGTTTTGATGATCAAAACTCTCTGGGTAAGAACATGTAATGGATTCCTTCTGTAATGGATAATCCGTCTGAATTTAAAAAAATAAAATAAAAATGCTTTAAGTTCATTCTGTTATTTCATAGATGACAAAAACAGGTATTCAAAAGTTATTTTTTTATGTCTAAGGCTATTCATGGCACCAGAATTAGAGCACAATCATTTGAAATAGTTATGATACTGTCCCTTTTTTTTTTTTTTTCCTGCATTCACAGTCAGGCTTTTAACATATCTAAAAATTTCAACATTGACCCAGGTACAGAAATAATCTTAAGGAAAAGATGACTGTCATAAAAGTACTTCGATTAAAACATGGAGAATATATTGTGTAGCTGCTGCCAGTGCTGTCTGTGTCCAGTAGCACCAAAATGTCAGTGCAGATAGATAATAGTACTTCACAGAACGTAGGAGATAATTGCTACTTCAATCTTAAAACATACATATGGCTTAAGATATAGCTTCTGCAGAAGCTACATTAAAAATGTAAAACAAATCTATCATGAATGATGTTCAGTAGTCAAGCCTTCTACTCCGTTACAAATCGTCACTTTTTAATTTTTATATGTTTTCCTCTCTGATTTTACCATTCTTTTTTTCTTCCTCAAATAAAAAAAAATATTTTTTCCAGCTTGCTGGGTTTTAACCTACTTAAATCCCTTTCTCATTTGGAAAACTGAACTGTTTTTGTATTTTTCTTTTTCTTTCTTTTTTTTTTTTTCAAGAATACAGCAGATTAGAAAAGAAATCTCTGTCTACAAACCTCAAAGATAAGGGAAAGATAAGGGCAGACACAGGGCTGAGGAAGAAGGGGTGTTTGTTCCTATTCATCTTCGTCTCGCCAAAACAGGAACTGCAGATTCCTCCCCGCAGTTGGGGCAGTGCTTTATCACTGAGGAGCACCTTGTTCAAAACCATCCCTTTGCAAAGGGGACTGCTTTGGCTACGTTTAGCATTTGCTTGTGTGTAAGAGTACTGTTTGCAAGAACATCATCCAAGTGGCAATGTCCTGTGTTCACATGGATGGATGTTTAAGCAATAGTTTATCTCGCATCCTGCCCCACTCAAAATAAGCACCCATCTATCCGTACAGGCCTGTGAAAATGGGTCACTCCTCATTCCAGCAGAAAGCTTTATTAAAAGTAGAGACACCACCAACAGGCTGTGCAAACACTGCCACAGAGCCTGCAGAGAGAGCAAGGAGAAGGCTCAGGGGAAGGTCTGGGCTCAACCCACTGCAGCTGAGGAGGATATGTGGCTGCTGTCTCACCTGTCCTTTGTCAAGCCACATTTTGTCAGAGGCTGCAGAGCCCCGTGTTTTCTGTGCTGCCTAATAGCCCTCCCTTGCTGTTGACTGCTGAAACCCTTGTGTTGACTTTCTTTCTCCCTATTAAAAATAGCAGCTTTCATTTCTCCTATTTTGCAAGTAGTTGGGGTTCCTTCTGAAAACTGGGAACCTTTGTCTGAAAACACACAGAGGTCCTGCTGGTGTCCTCTGAAAATATAGCTTATTCTCCTCAGCTGGGCCTGCAGGGCTGCTGCTGAGCCATCATCCACATACTTATCAAAGGTCATTTTGTTGTGTTTATTCCAGATTGCTGTTGATTTTAAAAATAAAAATTGAGCTGTGTGCCTTAAGAGAATCCCCACACAGCCTCTTTGCCAGGACTTTCATTCCTCCTCCTTGTACACCTGCTGGGCCTTTGTGTAGCAGGGGTGAAAAGCACAAAACTTTATTTCAAGCTGCAAACTTTTTAAATATAAGTCCAAGTACAAACATGCAAGAAAGTGAGAAATCCTGTATGTTTGTTTTTAACTAAGCAGGTGGGAAAAGTTCTGATGTGTCTTGGCCTGTGTCTGTGTGCTGAGAATCCTCTGCCTCAGGCGCAGGAGCAGTGCTGCACCCTGGCACCTAGCTCAGCTCCGCACCGTAAGCAGCCACGGGCTCAATATGTTATGGAAGAGCATTCTGTATGGTAAATTATTAGCAAGGATATGCTCTCCTATCATCACCAGGGAATCTTATTTTAAATGTTTATTTCTAGAGCTTTTGTGGTTTATATATATATTTTAATGATATTTTATTTTCCCTCTGTCTTCACACAGAAAACTATATATTTTATGAGAGCCCCTAGTTCTCAAAGCAAGAGATAACCAGGGGCCCAAGAGGCCCAGTCTGCCAAGCCCCATCCAAGCAAGCAGGTGAAATCACAGCACCATAGAAAGCTGTGACTTTGCTCAAAGACCTCAGGCACACAAGACCCCAGCCCCAACACGGGGCTGTGCACGCTGGCTCAGGTGCAGAAGCTGACTTCCAGAACACCCTTGTTATCTGTATTGACTGCTCAGCACCTTGAAGGTAAGGTCCGTGAGCTAGCCGATTTACCAACTGATCGCCTTTTCTTCCTCTTCCCTCTCGTTGTTGGCTTT